CCAGACACTCTGGCTCTTAACCGCTTCCTTGCCTCTGTGCCTCTTCATTCTTCTTGCATCCACATTTTCTTTCATCGAAAGAAGCATAGACACGTCTCCCCTATCGTTGGCCCACTTGACATATTTCTTATCGTCAGGCACCACTTGTCCACCATCTATCGCCTCTTGCAAGTCAGGATAATTTCTCTTCACGTGATCATCATACCAATAGTACATGCAGGTGTTACGAGGAGTCAGTGGTCTGCTCTCGAGACGCCTGTCAGATCCTCTGTCGTCAATGCTTGGAGATCTGACACCTCTCTCTCTCCACCCTCTGGAATCGTATCGAGAGTCCCTGTCACGATCATATCGCCCTCTAGAGTCATCACGACGACCCTTGTCCCGATCATATCTCCCGCTAGAATGATCTCGACCATCCATCTCTCGATCCTCCCTCTCATATCTGCCTCGCGAATCTTCTCTGTAGTCTCTACCTCGATCACTCCTTTCGAATCTCACGCGGGTGTCAACCAATCGATCTCTGTCCGGTCTTCCAAGCCTTCCTCGTTAATCATCTCGCTGATCTCTATCTCTATCGCTCCTCTCGTATCTCGCATGAGAGTCATCACAACGCTTTCTGTAATCACCTCCGTCCCTGTCATGTCGGGGGTGTCGGTCATCCGTAGGTATACCTCTGTCATCAACTTGACCTACTTCTCTGGTCTATTTGTTGTGGGAAACTGACGATCCTCCCACCACTTAGTTCAAAGGGCGCCCCAGCTATATGCGTACTATGTGGTGCAAAGGGTTGATCAGACGCAAACCTTGGACCTCTCTCTTGCAGCACCCTAGCTCAACCTACTGACCTACTGCATCAGGTGATCTGTCTATGGACGCATTGGACGGTACTAGGTTGGGTACAAATACGTGGGGTTCCAACCTTGCCGTATGCGCAGGGGAGATTGAGGGCCAACAGAGTCAAACCCACGACCTCCTTGTTGGAATGCCGGAGGTCTTACCGGCTGAGCATTGCCAACCTCCACATTGCCATGCCAAAGCTCATAACCACTGAGCTACCGCACTTGCCTTCTAAGTGACCATAAGGGAAATGACACTAGCAATGCGGCTGCTCTAGTGTGACAAGTGGGGAACATGTGTTGGACGGGAGAAGTTCTAGATCCCCCCTTCACAAAAGTTTTGTATTCGTTTGCCCCCCTAAGGTGTCGGTGGCCGCGAAAGGCTTGAGGAGCGTGGGGGATCCGTAACATTTGCCACCAGCTTTGGGGGGCCTAATGGACCTTTTGCCATGGTCCAGGGGCAAACGACTAGAAACGCTTTGTCGTGGGGGTCATCTCTAACTTTTCCGTGCGGGATGGATGGGGTGGAGCATGAAATAGGGGAAACAGAAACAAAACACAATTTCATAATGAGAGAAAAAGAAAAGTGCTCTTCCCACCCATTGTGTCTGGTGGAAGAGGGATGTCAGATGCCAGGGGATGATTGAGTGAAGATGGACGTGGCAGTCATGGTAAGTTGTGAGCTGCTTGGCCCAAACCGTTCACATTCAAGACTGGGGGCTGACTGAGGCCCGAAGGACGCTGCCCGGAGCTGGGGTGCTGCGCTGTAACCTGGTGATGGCGGGGTGTGAGGCCCTGTAGAGAGATCTGGGGATGTTTTGGGCCTGCACCCGAAGGGACAGCTGGGGGTTGCTGCTGGACTACGGTGGTCAGAGCCGGGGCGAGTCGTGTTGCCCTATAACCCAACAGGTTGGGGGCATGAGGCCTGGCAGAGCCTGGCAGAGAATAGGATAGGTTTGGTGGGCTTTGGTTGGATCTGCTTAGATAACCCTCACGGGTTTCTGTGGTATTCGGAGGATAGAGGGGGATGGTAGGTTGTGTTCTGAGGTTGTAGAAGTAATTCAGCGGGAGCCGTTTCTCAGGGCATACTCACACTAGCACGCATTTTCATCAAATCGTAAATTGAAGGTGACTTTTTGCATTTTCACGCAAATGGGCACGTGAACATCCGAGGCTTGGAAAGCGGCGGGGTTACGTATTTTGCAGGAACCTCTGGAGGTCCCCGCAATTGCTTTAGACCTGTTTCTTTCTGGAAACAAAAAAGAAGAATTCTTTTTTTTTTTTTTTTTTTTAAAAAAAAGCTATATTCTTCTCTCAATTTCACCTCACACTACCTACCTACCACTACTCCTAATTGTAGGCATACGGGGAACCCCGTAGCAGCCACAACCATGTTCACGAGAGAACATGCGGGGGTTGCTCCCGACCCGCAGGTGGGCGATTCCGGCTAGGGGACAGCCGGTAGCATCAGGGACCATGCCAACAGGACCAATCCCTGTGCCTCCCCTTCTACGTTTGGTGGTGGGCAGCTCTCGTAAGGAAAAAAAAAAAAAACCCGGAAAAAGGGATGGGTTTTTATGCATAGTGCTGTGTGACCCCTCGGCCGGTATAGTCGCATTCCTAGGGCAGGTTGAGACTGTATCTTTTCTATTTTGTGACGTATATGGGTGTGCTTTGTGACTGGAAAGTGTCGTATAATCGCAAATTGGCTCACATAGGGGCTTGCGACACAGTCTTTCGAAACGTGCAAAATGGACTCAGCATCTTCGCCACACAGGCTTTCGAAAAAAGTGCCATGTGCAAAATGGACTCAGCATCTTCGCCACACAGGCCTTCGAAACAAGTGCCATTGAAACAGTTTCGAAAGGTGTCGGATAGTTCCGCGTCGAAAGTCGTTTGGAAGGAGCACCATTCTCCCCCCTGTCACCAGCATTTCTTCAAAAGCCCAAGAGTGGTCTTGTGAAAACTCCCACTTGAAACGGCCTATTGGCAAAAAAAAAAAAGAAAAAAAAGGGTAGATTAGAAGGGCCTGGCTCCATTATTCTGCGCATGCACAAAAGACAAAAATCATGGTGGTGTATCTTTTTTCATGTTCTACCCAAAGATTCACACTCTCGTGTCTTACACATGTAGAGAGTAGTGGAGGGAGCCCCTAATGTGCATGTCCAAAGGCCTCGGTGTTTCGAAAGTCTGTGTGGCAAAGGGGGGGGTTCCTTTTGGTGAGCAGCCTTGTGAATGACGTCTGACACCTTTCGGAAAATGCCTTCATTCGAAAGGCTTCTAAAGGCTGTGTGGCGAGCCCCCTATAATTTGCTATTGTATGTGCTAGTGTGAGCATGCCCTCAGTTTAGTCACCTGTCCCCCAATCAATATCAATAGATGGGTAATCAACTCCCATACGGTCAGTATCCGCCGATTTGGACCTTACCACTTAGTTTCAATGGCAGGCAGGAAGTATAACAAACAGCGTACGTTCGCGCGCTTCCCCATAGCACTTGCTTCGTGACTACGGTAGGCAGGGTATTCTTAGCGGAAAAAGGGTAATCACATCATGATTCACATGGTTTCCTAAAAAAATGTTCTATATCTGTCTGTTCTACAGGAATATGAGAAAAAAAAAGAAAAAAAAGAAAAAGGGACGCTGGGCCCTGTTCCCAGTACGTCCTGCTCCCCAAGAATAGACTGGAGCACTATGTTTTTCGAAGACAAAGGAGTCGTCATCATAATGACATTGACATATAAACCACAACCACACGGCGAATGTGGCGTCCGTCCCTGGGATGGGATCGAAAGATGACGGGAAGGTTCCTTACAGGGTCTTCAACAGGCTTTGTTGTTTCTTTTTGAAGTCCTTGTTTTTTTTTTTTTTTTTTTTTTTCAGTCCTTGTTTTTCAAAAGGGCGAGAGCCTCAGGTCCTCAGGTTGTCATCATTGACTGACCAGCCCCTGCTAATTGGGAATATTTTATTTTTGTTCTGTTTATAACTCATTGCCCCTGGATTCGCTCATCAGTCTGTATTAAGGTAGTTTATGCCCCCCTTGGTCCTCCCACACTTGTTGCCTCTTTGGGGGGCACTGGGCCCTCTCTTTTTTTTCTTCTTCTTTTTTTGGGAATCCTTCCCTTCTATATTCTTCTCTCAACTTCTTGCATTTCACTACCTACCTACTCCTAAGGCTATCTATAGGGGACCCCTGCAAGCATAGCTACCACTCACTGTGAAGGGGATATTGCATGTTGCCCCTTGCCCAAGTGGCTAAGGGTGTAGGGTTGGGGCCGCCAGTGGGGGTCTGGCTAACGCAAAGACCGAGACCTGCCAGTAGCTGCGCCTCCCTTTCTCATCGTCCCCCACCCCTCATCGAGTAGCAGCAGTGGCTATGGCCAACACTCTCCCACACACCACACACAACCCACTCGCGCTCGCACTCACACCCGTGTTGGTCATAGACTCCACTATCACCGATCAGGGGTATCCAGAGGACTATCACAGTCCATTGGCACTAAGAGCGCCACAGGCGGTCGTGGGGCTTGAACCCACAACCTCCTGAATGCCACTTGCGTGCCTAACCAACTGAGCTAGGCGGCTGGATGGGCCCTCTCTATTCCCCAAAAAAACAAACAAACAAACAAACAAACAAATAGAAAGGTTCTGCGGAGGGGGGGCGTCGTAACTTTCCCAATCGAAGCGGTCTGGCCGAATCCGCTGCTGCGTGTGGCTGATCCCCGAGGTGATGTGGCTGGTATAAAGTTCCGTACGCTATACGGCAGCGGGGGACGACGCTTGAACCGTTGGAAGTGTCGATGAAACAGGGAGGACCTGAGTGAAGAGTCCACGGAAAGTTATGCCATTGCTACATACCTGGCGACCAGGCAGTCAGGCAGACAAGGAGGCAGGCAGGAAGCCAGGCAGACAAGGAGGCAGTCAGGCCGTTTAGGAGCACACCTGAGTCGAGTCGCCACTGCACAAACGTAAGGCACCACCGCAGGCGGGACTGAGCAAATAGTGGTAGTGGGCATGCTCATCGGCGGACGGCGGGGTATTTYGCCCCGTAGTGCAGGCGGAAAGGACCTACGGCGGAATTCGGGACTGAGCAAATAGTGGTAGTGGGCATGCTCATCGGCGGACGGCGGGGTATTTAGCCCCATAGTGCAGGCGGAAAGGACCTACGGCGGAATTTTTCAGCCGGTGGCGGCTAGAATCTATCATGCGATCGACCCCCCGACGGAGAGAGATCAAAAAGGGGCAGATCAAAGAGGGGCGGCAGGTGATACAGTTCGCAGAAAGGGGCGGCAGGTGATAGAGTTCGCAGAGAGGGGCGGCGTGTCGTTCTAGCTGTAGTGAGTGTAGTGCGAGTGCGCTGAGGATTCGAAGCGAGGCGCGCTGAGGGTTCCACCAAGCCGGAAGCGCCGAGGGTTCGAAGCCAGATCCAGTCAAAGAGACGGTAATAGCGAAGGCGTCGAAGGCGTCCCGTGGCAAACGAGGCTGTCAAGCTACGCCATCGCTGCGGGCAGGACTACAGCCCCAGCAAAGCAGCTGCTGTGGAGCCCGCTGAGCGAAGAAGACGAAGGTGGAAGCGAGGACGATGGCGCGCAGTGGCGTTCGGTCGTTCCCTTCATTGACAGCGGCTTCGGCGTCGGCGGCGTCGGCGGCGGCGGCTGCTTTTCTCTTGCTGTCCATGATCCATGTGAGCGTTAGCGGAGAAACGGCTACTTTGCCATGGCCGGAGTACGTTCAGATCGACTCGGTCTCGTACGCGGGATCCGGATGTCCACCTGGCAGCTCCGAGTATGTCCTCTCCTCCAACATGTCGACGCTGACACTGATCTTCAGCAACTTCACTGCGAGCACGGACGGAGGCATCCAGGAGCGCCGGAAGAACTGCCAGCTGTCAGTCGGGCTGACATTTCCCCTTGGCTGGTCATACAGCGTGGGGAACATTACCAGTAGGGGGTTCGCCGCCCTTGATGCTGGAGTCAGGGGTCTTCATCGCACAAGCTTCTATTATTCTGGCATGCCAGGAACCGCGCATGCGACTCTCAACATGACGGGCCCATTTGATGGCAATTACGAGGTCACCGACACACTGGACGCTGTGATGTACAGCCCGTGCGGCACGTTTCGAAATCTCAACCTCAACACCGAAGTCCGCGTTGACGACGGAGTGAGCAACGGTCAGGGCATCATGACCGTCGATTCCACGGATCTACGCTTCAGGCTCATATTCACCATCATGTGGAAGAAGTGCGATTGAGTCCGTCCCAAGATCAAGTCACCCCCCCCTCCGCCCTCATCGGCAAGCTCATCGGCGCTGCTTGGCGGCACTCATCAATCTGCTTTTAACTCCTTCATCGACTTGCTTGTTCTTCTTCGTCCAGCTGCTTGATCTCCTTCATCGAGCTGCTTGTCCGCGCTATCAGTCTTTTTTTTTATTTTTTTTTATTATTATTATTATCAGTCTGTTCTCGAAAGTGTTGCATTTGTTCGATTTTGTTCGTGGAGGATGGAAAAGCGATAGCCGGTTGCTTCGACCATCGCGAGGGATCGGATTTGCGTAGTGGCTTCTTCTCTCAGTTCCACTGCGTAGTCGAGATTTCCCTTGTGGGTAAAGGTTTTCACTGAGATTGTAATGCTCGTTCGCTAAGCGGGCCGCTTTGGTAGATAAGATCGGAATAGGAGGGAGTAGGGGCGACTCGGGGCGAGTAGAGAGAAAGAGGCCGTCAGGAGCCGGGGAACTTCGAGTCCATGGAAATTATAGATCAAGCCACGAGTGTGCCGAGACGGATCATCATTGGTGAGTCGTCCACTGTCGTCGAGTGGACAGACTACAGGCAGGCGCCATCGGATCGAAGGAGAGTCTGCTTAGAATGATGCTTCTTCTTGTAGCTGCAGTGCCCGCTAAATAAGCTCCATCTTCAGTGCTGAAGTAAAGGCAGGACTTCAGTGGAGAATGTTTCCTTCCCGTAAACCCCGGTTATTGTCGTTCTGACGTTTACGCCGGAGAACATGTGCAATTTTTTTCCTCTCCCACATCGTTTCTAATGTACGTCATCAAGCCGCGTCATCTCTCTCCCTCTCTCTCTCTCTCTCTCTCTCTCTCTCTCTCTCTCTCTCTCTCTCTCTCTCTCTCTCTCTCTCTCTCTCTCTCTCTCTCTCAAGATCGATGTCGCTTGCATCCGTCTCACATTCTCTCCCCCTCTCTGTCTCTGTCTCTCTCTCTCGATGAGGGTCGCTTGCATCCGTCTCCGTCTCTCTCTCTCTCTCTCTCTCTCTCTCTCTCTCTCTCTCTCTCTCTCTCTCTTTCTCTACTATTGATTGCACATACATAGATTATATATATACTTTTATTAATAGTATATTATGATTATTAGTTCATCAAATTTGTAAATGACATTAGATATATAAATTTCAATTAGATAGATATATAAATTTCAATTAGATATATAAATTTAGTCTCTCTCTCTCTCTCCCCATCTCTCTCTCTCTGGATCTGGGTTGCATCCGTCTCACATTCTCTCTCTCTCTCTCTCTCTCTCTCTCTCTCTCTCTCTCTCTCTCT